TGGCAAACTTGCTTAGTGTTCTTCAAGTCCAGTTTGCTTAAATGTTCCCAATTCTCCTCCACTGAGAACAAGATGTCCTTGCTCCAGACCTTCCCTTTGATTACTGAGGGCTGGTCTTACAAGTAAGGACTGAGGTAAAGAAGATAATGAGTACTTCAGCGTTTTCCATACTCTTGGTCAACAAGTCCCCAGCCCCGTGTAGCTGCAAGCCCACATTCTGCAGCAAGTCTATATAATCCTTAGTCCTTCTTTTGCTGCTGATATTCCTGTAGAAGCTCTTCCTGCTGTTATTCATATCTCTCACCAAATTGAAAAGCTTTGGTTTTTCTAACCATATTTCTACATCTTTGGACAGTGTCTCTATATTCCTTCCAGGTCATCTGTCCTTGCTTGCACCTCTTCCACACTTCCCTTTTAAATTAAGGATTTTATCAGTATCTTTATCATATGAAGATAGAGATTCCTGTCTTGATTCTGATACTACTCCTTAAATGAATGTAAATGGACAATGCATTCTTAAAATGCTGAAACCACCTATTGAATGAAAGACTAATTTGTGATATTTAAATGTATGAATGTGCATACATTACATCCTTCTTAAAAGCTCCATTCACTTTATAAGCTTATTCTCTAGAGCTCATTTATTAAAGTTCTGTTTACTTACTCTTGAGTTGCTCAGAGCTCATAGAATAAATAATAGAAATCTCAAAATTGCTCTTGGCATCTTCATATCAAAATGGATGGTTGCCAGTACAGTAACAGAGCTTAGCACTTCTCTTCATTAATATCCTGCCATTGAAACTAATGAAAATTTTGATACTAAGTAACTTGTCTAATATTTAGAAATATTTTACATAAGACATGCTTTCATAAATAAGTTGAAGATAAAGTGCAGTATGAGTAAACTCATACTGACTCTCAAAATCAATCTGATTAAAACACTAACCAAAAGTGGTGAAAAAAAATGTTTGAGGCCCATGGAGGAATCTTAAATCTTTGGCTCTTCTCTGTCATGTCTGGTTTGATGTTTGATAATGAGAGTTGAACTGAATAAATTCTAGGGAAAAAAGTTAATAAACAAAATGAAGTAATGCATTAACTTCTAAAGAAACAGTTGACCTCAATGCAGTCTCTAAAGTTTCCATTAGGGCATCTTGTAAGTGAAACTTGCCTGGCACTGGTCCTGCCACCACTGCAAATATGAACATATATGTGCATTTATGTGTATATTTTTAAAACTTAGTTGCACATCTGTATGTGCATCAAACGTCTACACATATACCTTCCCACATTTGTTTTGCCTGCCTAGATTACATACTTTCTTCATCTTGAAAACAGAACAAAGGCAACACCACATAGAATGTGGTTTTCTCGTCAGTAAGAAATGACATTTTGCATACAGAATATTTGATGGACTAACTATATCATTACAGGAAGCCAATACTTTGGTACCATAACTTCCTCTACCCAATGATGTTAGCTATTATAGTAAAACAGTTTCCTATTCTTATTCCATTTCATCTAATTACTTTTGTATTTAAACCTAATACCATTTATTCTAATGTATAAATAACATGGTCTGAGGAAAAGAACTGCCAGATGTGTGTCAGCCCAGGTGATAGTCAGAAGGAAGCTGTCTCGTCCTTTTGACAGAGAGAAGGGAACTCAAATTTACTAAAGAGACAAAGCACAGCTAAAAAATCTTATGTAATCATGTATGTGATGCTAGAGGAGTGTACAACAGTACAAAAATAGAATATATACAGGAAACAGTGAGATATATAAAATACAAACAAGCCATAATATGTCATACATACTTTCCACCCATGGGGTTGATCACAGAAAGATCCCTTCATGCTCCTGATTACTATGGGGACAAGGACAGCCCAAGAGCCTCCTTAGGACAGACATCTAGCCCATGACTCAAGACAGGGGGATATTACCAAATATAAGTCCACAAAAACTGTTAGCTTAGAGGTATCAAAAAAATTTTTTTTTTTTTTTTAATAAAGGAGGCAAGACTGGATGGATATGTTTCAGATAATAATGAGCAGACTAATCCATGCATTCTAATTCTGGCTTTTGGTATTTCCAAATTCTTTCGCAAATATCATCACTAGGGAAAAATTCATCACTTTGAAGAAGGCTAACCTTAGGCCAATATAATAAAGCAATTTTTTAAAATTTATAATATCATTTTCACTATGAAAATGTGAAAAGTATTTAGTATTTCAGTATATGAAACTTGAATTAATTGAATTAATTTTCTGGGTCAAAAACTTTTAAAAAAGAATTTACAAAAAGAGATAGCACTGCAAAAAGAGTTATTCTAAAAATCTAAACCTTCCCTGGCAGACCCTGAGATTAGCTCAGTTGGTTACAACATGGTTTAGCAACTGCAAGGTTGTGGGTTCAATCCCCACACTGACCATTTCCATAAGAGTTGATGATCATTGTGGGTCCTTTCCAACTCAGAATATTCAATGTTCACTATGTATCACAATTTGAGCAACAAATGGAAGGAACTGGGAAGCAGCTGCACAAAATAACACACGTATAAATTAAGGAGTATTAGAATTATCTACAATGTGTTTGTGTCTGTGGAATTTAAAAACTGGGGAATTAGCCAGAAATTTATGAAGTCATATTCTGACAGGATTGGATACCTAAAAAAAGACTTAAATAATTAGCTGTGGAATAAGCAGGACATGTAAGAATCTGAGTTTTACACTAAATTTGTGTTTAGGTGGAGTATATACAAGCAACATATTCATCTGCAAAACACGGAAAATAAGCTTCTCCCATTTTATAGAGGTTCTCTAAGGAAGAATACACAGAGATTCCAAGGCTCCTCTGTTGTGTTGTTGAACAACTGGAGTAGACAGGTTAGCTAGACATAAAAATATAGTTTTCAGTATATGAGATAATCTTCCACTTGAATATTAATTCCCTAGAGATTGGCAAAGAGATGCATTCGAAAAACATTTATTTTTCAGCTATTGAAAAACATCACATAGTAAGCAGTGACAAATGCTGACCCCAAATACAGCACTGAGAGCCCCCCAAAGCACTGAAACAGAACACTTGGAAAACAAAAGAAATATGAAATTAGCATTTTCAATATTATTGTTTCTGCAACAAAATCTCACTGTATTTATTTCATGATCATCCAGCATGACAAAACAAACAGGATTCGAGTGCTATGAAATATTCTTCATGTAAAATAGCCTGAGGCAGTTTCTCTGCCTGTGCTAGCAGTTTTGCTAATGATACAGTAACAGCTTTAGAATAATCCCCTTCACTGTCAGAAATACAAACAATCTTGTATAAACAGAAGAGAAAGGATCTCAGAATTCTTCCTTAGGCAGTTGTAGGCATGAGTCAAGATGCTGCACATAATTGTCTTGCACGTAGTGGACTGTCATTGATAACAGCGTTACTTAAGAACAGCAGCAGCAGAGACCTTGCCCTAAAACACAGATAAGCTAAGTCTTTCCATCAGCTATCACACAACAAAAATCAAATTAGGGCTACTGCTCATCTAAATTCAGTAAAATATACATATATTTAAATTAACTAGTGTGATCCAGTGATGGGATTCTCTGACAGGTGGAACAGATGCTGGTTGAAGTAATCAAGTTGTATTCATTGACCTTAGCTCTAACACCAAAGACAAATCGACAAATCTGTCAGAGATCATGGATTCTGGGGGACATAAACATAGCACATTGCATTCATATTTTCATTACATATGATTATATGCCTAGTCCCCAGGTCCCTATTTTCAAAACTAGACGGGTACAAAAATCTCACTGGCAAATATTCAACTGATTATTTACACAACATATAGAAAACAATACAAAAATAAAATTTAACTCTTCAATGTTTCAAAGGACATAATCTTCTGTTCCTCTTACTGAAAAAGAAAATAGTTACATATTTCACCCCCAGTTTCTTCCCCCTCACACCAGATTTATGCCAGAATAATTTCACAGTCCTTAAGTAAATTCTGATATACAGAAACTGCACCTATGCAAGAAAGCAATTCTTAGTTATGTTTCACTGTTTGTAAATAAATCAGAATATTTTTAGGACAATATATGGCATATGATAGTTGTTAAGGGGACTTCAGTTACCTGGATAATACCTTGCGAGGCCAGTGGCACTACCAAAAACCTGCCATAGTAAAGTGGGGTCTTCTTCTCTGTTCCTCTTGAACACATCGTCCAACGCTGCCGTCCAGTTGAGTTCATTTAGCACTATCGTTGCTGCCAAAGACAAAACATATTTGTTATTGGAAAGTCACTTCCTAACACAAGAAGCAATGACTCCAAAAAGAAAACTGGACCATTGCAGAAAGCAATAACATTTAACTAACCCAGAAAATAAATTTAAAGAAACACACTTCCTTTCCTTGGGAATTTTCTTTAAATTCCTCATGCTCTCTTCTTCCCATTGCATTATTTGTATGCAATGAGTCTTGAATTATTTGCACAGCTAATATCTTCTACAAACAAATCTTTGTTTCTAAGATGTCACTCTAGTTGCACTTCCCAATCATAGAAAAGATCTTTCATAAAAATATAAAGGCAAGCGTATAAACTTGATGCTTACTAATTACAACACACTGCAATAAGAACAACTAGAATGACGTCAACAAAAGTAGGTATATACCTCTCATAAGGGTAACAAAGATGTCCCTTTCCAAATGGATGCTGTAAAGGATTACATGGGAAAAAGACATTGATGAGTTATTTGGATTGTAAAGCTAAGGTGGGGTTGCATACACAGTAGTGCCATTATCACATGCTAAGAAGATCTTAATTCATAGATGTGGGCCCTTACAGTAAGATAACCTTTATGAGTTGGGTCAGTTCCATAATGAACTTAAAATGCAAGAAAATTCACATTTCAGCTAAACACTGTATGGCCAATTACACAGAAACTTACATTCCTAGAGTTGTCCTGTTCCAATGCTTGTTTTAATCAATCAAATAGTTTACATAATCATATATGTAGTATATTAATGTGTTCTATGCCTTTTTAAGAATGAGATGCATTGGGAAACTTAAAAATTGAACATTGCTACAGTAATAGTCCCTGGGCTATAGTCACAAATTTTACTGTGATACGAAACATCTTATGATATAATTTATGAGAAATCATGTTTTTCACCTCATTTAATGAGTTGTAAATATTTATTAAATTTCCTTCCCAAAAAATCATAATAATTTTAGGCAATAGCAAATATACTGCCAAGTATGAAAAGCAAAGGCTTTTTGTTTGGTTTAGTCATTAACTCTTTTGCCTTGTCTTAAGCAACGATTCTTAAATTGAAACACCTAGACCAGCAAGCCAAGAGTGGAAAGGGAACTAGATGGAAGAAAAAAAACTTTTGGAAATAGCTAAAGATGTAGGTATAAAGTCTATGAAAGTTAACACTGTCATACAGATTGTGCTTGCACTATGGTGTTGTACACAGGAAATAAAATTCAACTTCTCTTGCAAATGGGCAAGTCAAGCTGAAATAAAAGCAGTTGGGGCCTGTTGTCATCACTGCAAAATTTGGTATTTAGGTCTACTTTCTATTTCCCCGCTACCAAAAAAAAAAAAAAAAAAAAAAAAAAAAAAAAAAAAAAAAAAAAAAAAAAAAAAAAAAAAAAAAAAAAAAAAAAAAAAAAAAAAAAAAAAAAAAAAAAAAAAAAAAAAAAAAAAAAAAAAAAAAAGAAACAATAAAAATAAGGATGGCTTAAAAGTTAACAGTTGACAGACCACTTACAAAGTGAGGCTGTTAACAGGTACTAAAGAAATGAGATCACAACATTACGTTTTATAGGCTTGTTTTTAAAGGTTAAGGAGAAAACTGCTACACCATGTGTTTCGCAGAAAGGTTTATGCTTTTTTTTTTAAAGTAGTTTTAAGATTTTACTCTCTCAAGGGATAGCTTTTTATAGCAATATCAAATTAAATAACTCTTGAGATTTCCTGTAAGCAATAAGCTTGTACTATATACCTGTCTCTTTGTCAAGTAGATAATTATAAATAAATATATGTTTACTTAAGAAAGAAAAACAATTCCCCGAGGCACCATGAGATGTTAATTATAATTTTAAGATGGTTACTGTTCAATTATCTTTTTTAGATCCTGTTTGACCTGCTGTGTAATTAATCATTATGTACAGACTTTCTAAACTTGACTTTGTGTCAGATCTAATTTCCACAAGTGGCTCCATGAAGTCATTAGAAGCTCTGTCATTTACTTAGATAAGAAATTTTCAGCTTGATTTTGTTTCTTTTCATGTTACCATTTCCCTATCCAATGTAGAGTACTTGGCCTACTGGAAGCCTGTGAGCACTGGAGCTCAGGACACTTAGTTAAGGCACATGGGAGACATTAACTGTTACCTCTTTGCCTGTTGAAAAGTATTTATGTTTCAGGGTTCACTATGAATTCCCAAGCCCCATAACAGTATAAATCAGTGCATTTCTTTGGTCTTGTGACCTGACTTAAAATTGCTGCAGATTCTGTCCCCAAATCTATCATTGACTTTATGACTCTGGTCAGAACACTGATACCCCTGAAAAAAAAAAAAAATTTTTTTTTTTAATTTAATCATGCCAATAAAATGCTTTTCTAAAGTGATTGTGCGTTCCATGAAAAAAAAAAAATCTTCACATATGAAATGTGGTACAATGTTTCTAAAAAACCCGACTTCCCTCAGACTGTAAGCTTACTAATGAATAAACTATATCCACTGAAGATATATTAAACATACGTTTAAGAATACTGTTGCAGAGTGCCTGTGCAATATCATCCAAAAATGTGTTGCAAAGATATGTATATATATTTTATATATATATATATATATATGAACCTGTGGTTCAGACATCTGTACATACAGAGTCATACATATAGAAATATATACCTAAAATACATACATATAAAAAAAGAAGAGACACTAAGGAGACAATCCACAAATAGTAAAACAAATAAATTCTGAATGTATTAATCTATATATTGGAATTGATAATTTCAGTACTTTCTTAGACTTGCTGAGATTAGCTATAAAGTAAGAGATAAACATTACTAGATCTTATTTACAATATTTGTGGGCAAGTGGTGTTTTATAGTCAAGACTCAATAATTTTATAGTATTATTTATGTTCCACTTTCCTCTTCCTCCTCTCCTCTATAATTTTTACCCAGAGACAAATGCAACAGTCTAAAAATATCCAAGAACTTACAGCAAGGAAAAAAAACCACCATAAACAACCAAACACATGACGCCAGAATTAAAAAAATAAGTTACGCGGACTTTAAGAAAAGCAAAAGAACAGAACATCTTAACAGAAGTAAAATTAAATAAATCTGGGAAAAGGCTGCTAACAGTATGTGTAATATATCTCTTCTCAGACACTGCAGAAACAGATCTTCCTGAGCTCCAGAAATTTGCAGTAAGTGCTTAAGTCTCATTTCCCTATAACAGCACACATGTCAGGTTCAACATGTATCACCTTCCCCTCAATTCACTTTCTCATTACAAATTTGTGTTTGGAACAAAGACACATTTTATTTGGTGGTACTGATATGCAAATAGCTGATTGCATGATCATTAAAACAATCATTCCTGGAGCAATTTGCTATTTGTAATTCTAAGTAGCTCCCTTCTTTCAGGTTTTTTTGCTTGGTTGTTTTGGGGTTTTTTTATTCATTCTATCTAAAAGTATACTTGATACAGAATACACCCACATCTGTGTTAACGAATCCATTAATCAGTAAATGAGGAAAAGGGTGCTGGGAATTTCAGTTTTAATAATTTATTTTTCTAAGTGTTTTCCCACAACTATTAATGTTTTGCTTCTGCTAAAGCATAGACCCTGCACTTCAAAAAGCCAACTATAAATCAAACCCTCTTTTTTTTTATTATGTCTGGTAATAGGCAATTTCAAACCAATACCTCTGAGTTCTGGTTTAAAGCCTACAGGAATGGATTTGAAACTTTCCAAAGAAAATAAAGCAAACCCAGTCATAATCAGCATAAAAGTATTCTTCAAATGTTTCCTTCTAAAATATCCTGATTCTTAATTTGCACATAAAAATCAATGAAGTGCTACTTTCACTAGCTTATAGGAGAGACCATAGCACCTGTCAGAATACCCTAATTTGAAAGATAATTTATACTGACTTCTTGAATATAATGAGAATTTATTTTCTGTTATTAAAAAATGCATTCTATTAAAAAAAATGCTTAAAGTTCTATAGCCACACATACTGAGATACTGCACATACAGTTGCCTTTCAATTGAGTTAACTCTCATACAGGAAAGAGCCTTTGACTGATAATTGGCAGAAAATCTAGTTGGAGACAACTCTCCGATAAGCTTATTTTCAATTCTGCTAAAAGAAGTCTTTGAAGATTATTACTTCAAAGTACTTCAGCTGCTACCTATCACTTGATACAGGCAAGATAAAAAAATAAAATTTATCATCACACAATAGGAAACATCATTCTTTCTGGCTAATTCCACTGAACTCCATCCATCTTTTCCTTTTCCTTCATCTTTATGATATGAGGTTTAGGGGCCTTGACAAGAAATGGATTCAATTTTCCCCTCCAAATGCAATCAATAAAAAATAGAGAGCACTACTGTGCTCTCTTTAAAAGAACTGGAATACACTTCAATGTATAGGCCCTGGCCTGCATACAGGACAGAGTACAACTTTATTTGAAAAGCCTGAGAGCTATTTCCTATATCTGAAAATACGTGAGCCGCTGTTCCCTGTTGCAGCAGTTACACAGACACTGGGGAGAACAGAAGGGAGCTCCTCAGCAGTTCATTAATCTTCTTTTAATGTGTGGAATGTATTACCTGTCCATATTCTGCTTAATGAAGTTGACTCATTGATTTCTTTAAAGATAACACTGAGTATTTATTGTTATGAATTAAATATACATTCACAATCAAATATTATGGTATTTAAAAGTGAGCACAGAGGGAAAATACTTTTGCAAGTGCATATTTTTGCATATATGTGTGCAGACACAGACATTTCCATCTGTAGCCATGCTTATCACACAACAGAGAAACTCTACTGAAGGTATAAATTAGTCTTTATGACTTGTGCATTTCAGTAATTTTTTTAAAGATTACATTCCTTCCAGTTTAAGTTAAATTACACAGAATTTTACTCACTTTCAACTATCACTGGAAAGTTGAACATCCATCTTCTCTTACATCAGACTAAGAAGGAATGAACTTTAATTTT